GGGCAAGGGAGCCAAGCTCGCTCTCACTCACATTTCATTAAGGCAAACACTGTCCATTAAAATAAACTAGGTCATATTCAAGTGAATAAAGTCGTTTTAGTATTAATTCGATGTTGGCTAGGAAACGCGGAAAGTGTTGCCTGATCGCAGTGGGGAAATAAATTATTCAAGAACAGGTGGGGATTTAATTATGATATCCAGCAAAAGCACATCATTTTCCATTCATAATTATGCTCTGAGACTTTCTTGCGTGGTCATAAAACGGAGCCCTCGGGGGGAAAAGGCATAGAATCCAACTCCTCATGTTTAAAACAAATAAGGATTCTTTCTCAGCTCATAGTGTAGCTCACTTTAATCTCTTTTCGATCAGGTGTAATTTGAGATTTTAAGGAAAATTCTTCACCTTAATTTAATTTTGCACAGGAGATTTTAGAAGGTGAATTCAGCATGAAAGAGGAAATCTAATTTTTTAAAGCCCCGTATTGAAAGATGATTGATATTTCAGGTTTGATTTCCTTCAAATTGTTTAAGTACTATTTACACAACCGCTATAAACTAATTTAATTTGTTATTATTTTTGTGGTAGTTAGAAATTTTTTAACAACAAAATGATAAATTTATTTTTTATGAGTAAATTATAAAGAAAATCACGAAAATTCAAGTGATTATAAAATGGTTATAAGAATCGTGCATTATTATCATTATTTTCAAACTGAAGCAAAATCCAATCTTTCAAAAATCTATTTTTTGTGAAATCTAGACTTTTTAAAAGTATTTTTTGCTGATTTTTTTAATATGAAGATTTAGTCATTTCTTTTTGAAAAGTATAATAGGTAAGGCCTTATTTTTCGAAGTTCAATCTTCAGCTGTCAAAGGAGGATATTATAGGACAATAAAGAAGAACACCTTATCAACTTGACACATCTATGTCTTTACTTTTCAAACCCCTTCAACACTCATTTTACCTTTTGACAACCATACAATTCGGCAACTCTGACGGATTGAAAAATTGATAAAGATTTAACTTCAGTAAAAGTTTTAAAGCGAAACCCATAAAACTGTAAAGGGACATGTATTTGGAAAAGTGGCAGAAACTTGCATGCCAAGTCGTAATGCGGGTTCAACTGGCGTTTGCTGAATACTCTCAAAGTCAGGAGGGTAGGCTTTTCCACGTGTGGATTTAGTTTCTGTTATTCTGGGTGATAGCTCTCTTCTAAAGGGAGCACTATTTGTAGCGTAGATAATTTTCTTTGAATTCCCTGCATTCTGAAGGGCGAAAACGTTGAGAATGAGAAGCGAAAGGAGGAGAAAATGGAAGGTGCCGGCAGCAATGGAGTTGGCAGATTTGCTGGAGACCATGGCAAGCCACATTGGAAAATCGGAGACAAATTCCTCTTTGAATAACCTGTTTTAGCACACTTCAGACAAAAGTTGAGTAATCACTGTGCTTGGAGAATTATTTCACAATGCGATAATGGTAGAAGCACTTCTTTCTTAATTTCTGTGTGCAATTTGTCTGTCTACCTGTCGGCGAGCTGATTGGCAGAGCCCTCTGCGTGCAAATCTACATGCTTCAACGCACACCTTATATTAGTGATGTGATTGGTTAAGTGCCTTCTCGACTTCGATGCCAATAAAACTATGATGAGAAGAGCAACTCTCGCATTCACAGAGATACGCACTTAGTGAGGTCACTTTTTATTGTACTCTGAGTATGTGGTTCGTGCTCTATTGCTCTCCCGGTCCATCACATCCTTTTCGGTGATATTGTCTATATTCCGCCGCTTTTATGAGCAAGAGATAGAAAATCTCACACGCAAATAGCCGCTTTAAATGATATTATTAATGAAATGGTATAAGTCACAAAATACCTAACTTGGTGGATCATACAAAATTCGGATTCCCCGGAGGTAAGTGACTCTCCATGTCAAAACTGCTTCTAAAGCTGGTACGCTTTCAGCGAGTGATTTCTCCTAACGACCTTCAAACTACCTGCGGTTTGAAAGTCAACTTCAGTAATAAATATGTATAATACTAATAATAATTTGTAATTAATGCCAAGTTTTTTTTGAACTCTATAGCGGTGGAGTTTTAGAAGAGAATATTCAGGATATAAATTTGTGCTTATAAAAGGGAAACACATCTAATCATTTATGCATTTTAACAGCATATTCTAGTTGTATGAATCACATTTTCGGGGAGTATCGAAAGAAGGGTTGGCGATCTAGTTCCCAGAGAATTTATGAGGTAGACCAATTCGATCCCGTCTACAGTTTTGAGAATAAGTGAATGTTCATTGATGCTTCTCGCTTTACCAATCATCTTCGCATCCAGACTGGCTCTTGAGATTGGTTTTTCAGCACAACCAGCAAAATCACATTATTTGACATAAGAAGAAAATGACACTTTTAGCTATGCTGCTCCGGTGCCTATCGTGCATGACCATTTTGCTTTCTCGATGACGAGAAGGCAGATCAAAGACCGCCTAAACATCGATTGGATGAGTCAGCTCAGTAAGCGATTATGAACCAGATGATATGGTACTTGCAAAGGGTAACAATAAGGCATTAGGTTTAGAGCCCATTAGGAGAAATGTTCGATGAAAGTTATTATTGCCTTAAAAAATGACAGTTGATACGTGCCACATGACGAGGATTGAACATAATCGTTTGGTAAATACTTATTATGAAATAATTAAGAAATGACCGCAGCTTTGTAGCAAATGGGGGGTAGGGCGGGGTAGGGGGTTCATTCTACAACATTTGTATCAGGTAATCGTGAAGAATCGATCAAATACCTAAACACCGGAAAAAAACCCATATAAAATTAATCGAAGAGAGCAATAAAAGAAATTAGCGAATCTCTATAAATACTGTGTATTTAAAAATAGCGTCCGAACGCCTCCATACATTTCGGTATGATTTTCTTGAGTTGACAGCCTCGGAAGCTGCAAATATGCTGCAATAACACAATTGTAGAGACTAATGAACTGGAAGCAGATTATGGAGGCTAAGACGAACGGTTGCAGCTAACAGCCACAAAATCCGTTTCAGCAAGTCGAACACAAAGAGTTGCGTAGGCCATAGGAAATTGAATGAACCACGATGAGGAATGGAGCGATTTAGATTGGAATGAGAGATTATGTCAGTATATATGTAACAGGCGTGTGTGGAGCGAAGTGAAGACATTTTATATGATTCACGTCTTTAAGGATGCGTGCGAGAGTGTAAATGTCGAAAAATATTTTACATGAGACGATAGAGTTAGAAAAAAATAAGTGGAAACGATGTCTGCCATCTAAGTACCGAGAAGATTCCCATATCTCAAACCCTACTC